AGTAATGTCTATGTTAAAGCTCAAAATAAACTTAAATCTACCTCAGTTGTTGTGTATTGTCGTTTCTGCGGCTCAAAATGGCGAATTTGAGCGATTTAGTGGGTTTTGCGTCGACTGTTACTATACGTTATAAGAAGGAGTGTAGTAACAGTCAACGCAAAACCCACCAAATCGCTCAAATTCCCCATTTTGAGCCGCAGAAACGACAATACACAACAACTGAGGTAGTTTTAAGTTTATTTTGAGCTTTAACATGGACATAACTCGATATCAGTTTACGATATTAAGACTCTTTGATATTCCTATACATTTCTTTATATTTCGAACAGACAAACAGACACGCTGCTTGACTATGGGCTCCCTATGTTGTCGGTATTTAATTGATAAAATTAATTGCCCTTTCAGTTTTTGCACGTTACCAGTAAACCTTAAAACGGTCTTTTCCAGTCAGAATCAGCTGCAAAATGAGACTATTACGAAAGGACAGACAAAGTAACGTAACATCTCTAAAATTTGATGAAATTAAGCATAGTTTACAAATTTTGGAACGTTTATAAAAGGATAATCAATAACAATGCAAAACAGAACAGTAGTTACTCTTTCCCCAAACAAACAGCATTTACCTCCACTAGGGCCTCTGCATAAAGAAGAAGTAAACAAAAAAGAAAAATAAATATTTGTTTTAAAGCCTTTACAAGCAAGAGTATTAAAATCACTAACAGAGTTAAGGCTCCATGATAGATCATACACCCAGCTATCGCAGCTGGCCACGCATACATAAAAAAGGTTAACCTAAGAGGGATGGTATTTCACCACGGTTTTGAACACCAGTTACAGCGGCGTGTTTTTGACGAGACTCGAGGTGTTTTGGAAGTTTTTGATACACTGTTTGACATACCTTCTCGATCTAGACTACAATTTAGCTGAATACGAACATCATTGAATTATTTCTTTTATCTCAACTTGAGGAATAACCTTGATTAGCATGAGGAACTGTAGAGTTTTGAAATTTTACTTTTTCGTCTTCTACTTGTAAAAGAATAAAACAAAGAATATAAAGTCGATTTCAGGAGGTGAAACGATGTCCGTTGACGTACATCTGAATAAGCGAAGTCACATCAAAGTAGTTTGTATCGTTCTTATCTTTAGGCTTGTGTACGTCGGTGCAGTGACGTAACTTGTCCAGCTTAACCTTACTGGAAGAACTAACGGCCACTTTGAGCTAAAAAAAAACGAAAGTGAAGTTGGAATTATGGCACAAAACTGGTTAGCTAAATTAAGGTGTCGTACTGCTCGTCGAAAAATGGCACGTTTCAAATCTTACTTTACTACAACATGTCGTAACAACATGAAAAAACATAAAACAGAACGCATGTGAAAAACAACTGAACAGCATAACATCTGGACAAATGAGGCAGTGGACCAATCAGAAGTCAGTACCAAAATTACGTAACTGGTTCTAATATAAGGCGAGGTAAGATGCATAAGCCGAGGTAAGACTGGTCTTCGTTTAGCTTCTGACAGGTTAGCTTTTTGCGCGCAATGATGTTTTTAACATTATTAAGAAGTCAGAAGTTCAAACTGAAAGGACATAGGAAGCATTTTGATCAGTTTAGGGCAAAGATACCTCTTTGTTGGTGATGATTATAAGTCGGCTAACGACATAATTCACTTTTATCTTTCCAATAGAATTATCACGGAATATGCCTGCAACCTGCAAGAAAATCGGAAAAAATATGTAGTGACTCACAACTGTTTCCAGCATGTTTCATTACCTCTACCTAAGTAGAGATACTACCACAGTTCTTCAGTTGACAGCACAGTTATGTCATCAAACAAATGGTCAATTACTGGTGAAGACGTTACGATCATTTTGTTAACCTAGCAACGGCATAAGCGAATGAAAACACCCTTAATTTTAGTTTTAAAGGCGTACAATGTAAAAACGAGTTGTAATCAGCATGTTGGCCAAGTTTGGCCAATTATTGGCAATGTTTGAAGAAAACAATATGTAAGAACATGTGTTCAGAGCCACCTTAAATTTTCAAGAAATTGTTTGATACCATTATTGTATTATCAAGTACAAACGAGAGGTAGCATTGATCCATAAAAGAAGAAGGGCTGAAAAATGCTGGAATTTGTTATGAGCCATCTTAAAGAGTTTTGGAATGAGTGCTCAGCCAGTACGCTTGTTTTGAGACTGAACTGCTGCATAGTAATTGCTTACCGAAGAGAAGATACGTAAGGGCTCACGTGTATCTGTCAAAGGCGATATAATCAGTAACAAAAAAAAAGATACAAAACTGTATTTATTCCAAACTTCCAGCCACTTACTATATTTGCTAAGACCAGTAGAAAGTTTGTAGTTTGGTTTCCATGCTTTGCTGCGACGTTTTCATCTGCCAAAAGCGCCACTTGTAAGTACTTATGTGGAGAAGCTTTACCGCTTATTTCATCTTGTTTGACTGCTGAGTCATAGCTCGACGCTACATCTGGAAAATCACGTGACCGATAGAAATAAATTTGCATACAACTGTATACTTACATAATGCTTGTAAATGATAGACTGAAACAAGTAAGTGCTGAAATTATTCTAAACTGTTCTTTTTTTGCGCAATAAATGTAGCAACAATGTGAGCAGTAAATTTTGGAGATTACATGTTGAATTATAGCACTTAAGTATACAGCAGGACTGAAAAAACCAAGGTGGGGCCAAGCGGTAGGGTAGCTGATTTCTAATTCTAGAAATTAGAGGCAATTCTTCGTCGCAACATTTCCAAGCAAGGGGTATATTGCCCCTGAAAATTTAGGACTACGTTATCCCCACATCCTTCTGGGGATACAGGATTGTTGCACTTCATCATGTTGATAGGTTTCCCTCACAATTTTCCATCGCCCGTTTATACGCTGTGTATAAACGAAAAAATGAAAACGCAAAAGGATAAAAGAAAGAAAACAAACTGTCTACAAACAAGAGAAAAAACCGGGGGGTGGTTGAGTAAATTGTAACTAATTGGCCTTCATCGAAACAACAATGTCTAGCCCTATGATAAAAACCTGCTAAACCTCTTTTAGATTGACAGTCATTCACGTCTGTAGATTTCCTATAGACGAGGTGCAGCTTAGCTCCATTTCCCGTAGTCACGTGTTTTGCCAGGTGATCCGGGATTGGTTGAACAAATAAAGTGTCTCGTGATAGCCTTATCGTACCAGTCTGCAAAATATCATTTTTGGGGTAAATGTATTTAGTTTGGCTACTAACTGAATCACTGTTTTCTTTCTGTTGACATCAATTTGAACCACTGGGATGTATATTTAAAACCGATTTATTGTTTATTTGAGATGTTCGTGCAAGAACAAGTTAAAACACTCACCATCCCATTATCAATGCTCAAAGCGACTGTAGAGCCTGGATCCGAAGCCTCTCCACCAAGCCAGTATGAATCTGGTTTGACAGGCTTGCAGCTCGTGGAGCGTGTGGGACACGAACTCGCCATCCTCGTTTGACTGATAAGGCTCTGTTACCTCGTAATCCGGAACTAAAGAGATAAAAAGCGGGAAGGAAATCATAAATGCTACTTCGTAAAAACAGAGGATAATGCTGGATGCTGACAGAACAGAATGCTGAGAATAAATTAGAAAAACTATTCATTGTCCAGTACTGGGTAGATAATGCACTGTAGCCCTTACCATCTGCAGATGTCTGGACACCAAAATACTTCTGGATTTCTGTCTCTGTCATGTGGTAATGAAGAGACTAAAAGTACACATTAAAGTATGACTTGTCAGTACTATATGATTTCAACATCGTGGAGTTAGTTTTATTCTGGAATAAATATTAACCTTACCTTTACGTGAAGACATAATATCGTGTTTGTGCCTACAATTAAAATCAGATTCCAGCGTTATTTAACGAGATGTGACAGCTAGGGTAAAGGAATTCTTCTGCTTTCTTAAGATTTTTAACTCTTTAAAGATTGAGGTGATGTTTTATTGAACTTTCATTCAATCTTATGATAGAACGAATAAGTTAAACCTTCGATGTATTAATCACCGCGCCGTGATGCTCTTATTTCAATTGATTTTGCTCTAAGAATGCTCTTTAGATGGAAAGCTTTAAGACTGTTGGGTGCGAGAGTTTTCTTATGGCTGAGATTTACCAATAAAGGTAATCTTTTCATAGTTCATTCCCAGCAGAGGAAGATTGGTTGCCATTACTGACATCATTACTTTGTCTTTTTTTAAGGAATCACAACGTTCGCCGACTCAAATCATAGTTACGAAAGACAATGTTTAAACATTTAAAAGAAGAAGGATAAACTTACCAAAAGCAATAAACAAAATGATCCAACGTTTGTTAAAAGGGATCATCTGAAAAATTAAATACAAGGAAAAAATAATTACATTAAAATGATGGCAAAAATGTCTCAATCTTGTGACGCATTCTTGTTAGATATTGTTATTAACGGCTGCTCTTTAGCTCGTGTTTGACTTCTGCCAACGGCCGATGCATAAAGTCTTAGCAGAGGTTTATTAAAGAGACCGGAGGGCATCGAAAACTGATGGTTTCACTGCTTCAATGTTACAACTTGAGATTTAACCTAAAACCATTTATTTTCCGTTGGTCGTGAACCAAACAGGAATGTAATAGATATGTTGATTCAGTTGAGGCCTTGCGCTACTGTATCTTTTTTCCAATTTTTCGCCGTTCTACGGCATCATCAGAGAATGAAAGAAAGTATTCAATAGTGCGTGATACAAAAGTGGTGTAGGTGACGCGAATGATTAAAATATGTAATAAGGACAGTGAGTGTAAATATGGTGATGGAAATATACGATAATATGGGGTTGTGTCCCGGTGTACAGGTACACATTGTACTCCTTTCTTTACGAATCTTTGTTTAGCTGTTGAACATTGTTGGGTCTTTTCTATCGGTTCTTGTGAACCGGTACACGAGGACAGAACCTAATATGGACAATTGCTAATGAGTATAAGTAATAAAGCAGTTCAAGATAAAATAAAAGTTCTCTGCATGAGTTCAATACATTCTTCACGGGAATAAATTTCGGACATATACAACAGCATGGACAATCGTTAATGAGTACAAGTGATACAGCGGTTCAAAATAAAGCAGTTCAAAATAGAAGGTCTCTGAGTTCGATGCATTCTTCACTTTCGAATGTAGAACGCCTCGAATAATCGCAAGTTGACAGGATTATTTTGACATCAATGTTTTGGCTGTTGTGGTTGTTGTTGTTGTTCAGGTGTTCTTTAATGTCGATTAACGCGATCATCATGTACAAATCGTGTGGTCCTTCGAATGTAGAATTTGTTCCAGCTCCTGCAGGTGACGTGGTACACGGTTTTTTCTTCGTGTTTGCGATAGGCAGTTTGTTCTTGTGCATGTGTTTTGGGTGTGGCGAGAGAGGGCTTGCCTTAGCGTGTAGGATTTTTGAGCGACGCGTACTAGGAGGCCTTCTTTACGGAAGATTCTGGTGATTTTGATATCGAGTCGATCTGAGATGAATGAAATTTTTTAAGTATAACGACGAAAGCTTGGAATAAAAATACAGTAGCTCAAGGCCTCAATTATTGAATCAATATATCCATTCCGAAATGCTACTGAAGGACAACTTCAAACGTTTAGGAACGTAATAATTGAAACCTAGAATAAACTAGAACAAAATAAACTTTTACCTTCTTTCGAAATAGCTTCCCAACCTCAGTATAGCTGTTGATATAAAGTTGATTGCAATGCAACTTGGAGTGCAGTGATCTCTTCCTATCTCAATTAGCACCTTCAGAAGGAGAGGCCGATAAATGAGCCTAATTAGCCTAATGAGTCATTGTCTCACCCTGCTGCCAATTCAAATACAGACTTTGTTGCCGCCTGTTTACATTTTATGACTTGAGCTTATCATCTGGTTCATTCTCAAGAGTGCCAACCGAATTGTTAAAAGAGCCGGGTGCAAATGTCATTGAGATGAACTTCTATCGTTAAAAAGACTAATTTATTCCGTTGGTAGGAAAAGCCTGAAAGTCTGCAATTATACTTTACAAACAGTCAACCACGTCTGGGAAACCGGCGCTATTTACTTAGAATTTTATTTATAATTTTGTCCCTTCACGTACAGATAGGAAACTCTACGGAGGATTTTTTTAAAGTTTCCTCAGTAAAGAACGATGGTAATCCGGCAATTGACATTTAGCCCTACATCCATCATGTACGATTTTAAGGTTAATAAAAATACGTATTGCATGATATTCCCTTTGCCTGTTGCTGATAGGGGCTGATGTGATATTTTTCTGGCAAAGTAACACTAACCAATCATGAAGTGACAAGCCTTCATTAGTCAAGCCGTGAAAAACTCCTTATGATTACCAATTCAATAATCTGATTACGATGTTATCAAAATCAATATATACATATAGGAGGAAAACTTTATGGACGTATGAAAATGGTGATTCACTTCTCGTTAACTCCACTAAGAAAAAAAAAATAGTAATAAAATAATAATAATAATGATAATAATAATAATAATAATAATAATAATAAAGCAGGCCAATAAATCTAAATTAAGCAATCATTTTAACTGTCGTGTATTTTTCAGCCGATATTGAGCGCCGAAAGCACGAGAAGAGCAAAGTGAAACGTTAAGGTTGTGTTTCTTTGAAAGAATCCAAGATCGGACGTTCGCGCGAAAATTTTCCAACATTGATTTTTTTCTGAGACTTTTACCACTGTAAGATGATGAGTTNTTATCTGAGATTTTCACCACTGTAAGATGATAAGTTAGTTATGTCAGAAATGTAAAAAAAAAAAAAAAAAAAAATGGGGGATCACCGACTTCGTTTTGGAGAGAACATGCCCGGAAGAACACCCTTAATCTGAAAAAATCGGGCTTCGTTAGCGAATAAGGCAACAGTGTCTGTAAGCCCCAAAATATTGCAATTAGATCTTTGAAGTGAAATGTTCTCAGCCAAATACTGTTTAAGTGGGCCTATCAAGTGAATTTAGTCTACTGGTGAGGTTCCTTAAAGAACAAGTTCGCATTTAGCAACCATAGTTTCACGCGCCTTGCGGCCGCAAGATGGCAGGATTCGATTTCTCGTGGACAGTAATCATGAATTTTTTTTTTAACTTCCCACATTGATTTTTTGTACATTTTTGGACAATGTGGAGATAACGGTAAATAAAACCTTTTTCTGGAAAGAAAGTTAGGGGTCACCGAACGTTCAAGATCGTTAAATCCAGGTAAAACTATAGTAATGGCCATCTGCCCTAAAACGCGCTCTCGATGCATGACGTGGCATGTGAATTTGCGTGCGCAGTAAGGATGCGCAGAAACAATTGGCGCGAACGTCCTTAAATCGAAAAACGGATTTTATGTTTCTTCCCTAAACAGATTAATCCAAGATCCCTCGGATCATGGTCAATCAAAGGAACCAAAGAATCCTTGCAGTCGAGTTTTCGGTTCCTGTAGATCTGATGCACCATGAACCGAGTGATCGAACAGACAAATAGAAAACAAACAAAACAAATCAAAAGAAAAGCATACGCACAAGGAGCTCTTCCATGCGCGAAGAGGAGCATCTTGACATTAGAAAAGAGACTTGTCAATTGAGGTACAGTATTAAAAACCTGTTTTAAATTTTGTTTTAAGAAAGTGTATATGGTACACAATGATGACAGAAAGTGATTACTTGCACTGTGAAACTCATGATTATACCGTGTGCAATAACAATCAAGCAAAAAAGGTTCGTTTGAGCCATCAGCCAAGCAGCTCAAACTGTTACAGGCCATGCTTATGCTTAACAGTCTAAGGTAAATGTACGTGCTTCTCAGTCACTGTAATCAGGATTCAAATTCTCATCAGGAACTATTTCCACTGTTGCCTCCTCGTCTCCTTCACTACTCTCCTGGTTAACATTGTGTTCACGCATGTAATCAGTATTTTGATTTTCTTCCTCGCGATTGTCTTCGGCTGGTAGTGATCGATCAATGGACTTCTCACGCACATCAATCTGTATGTTCTGACCTTTGTAATGTCTGATCTTTGTGGTCTCGATTTCTAAGGTGTTTGGCTTGGTTAAAGTGGCTTTCAAAGAGCTCAAATCCACATCTGCGGGCAATTTTCGACGCCAACAAAACCCTCTTTGGAAGCAGGGTTTGTCTTGGTTTCCCTCGCACGAGTGAAAGCCATTGATGAGCAGTTCTCGTCCTTCTAATTTCAAGGCAAGCTCATTTGGATCAAATCCTTTGACGTCCATAGACAGCCGGAAAATTTCGTGGTCATTTCTTTTCACCAAGGGGTGCGCAGCTGTCACGTGACGAACACTAAGCGCTCTGTGGATTCTGGGGAAGAACAGGTTATGGTTGTGGAAAAAGTCCATTTCAAACAGGTCATCATCAAATGGATCCCAGTTGACAAAGTCTAGAAACGTATGCCTGTGCCAAGACCTGTGCCAAGATAAATAACCACGTGGATGTTAGTTTCAATTACCAATCAGCTAAACAGTTTATTGCCACGCGACGCGAGGAGACTTGCGAGGTATCCTCGCGCGCCCCGCAAGCTTGAAGTATAATCGGTACAACTTGTCTTAAGTATTCTGTAACTCTGATTTTAACCAAATACAAACAAATACAAAATACAAACAAAACTATTTTCCTTGACAAAATTGTATGGAATCGATGAAGGCAACCGCTGTCACTGTCACTACACCGAGCGTGACAGGAATTAGACGGAATAATTGTTGGACTGAATAAATGACCCGATTGATAAACTTTTGTGAGTAAATGTTTAGTACAAGAGGGTATTGTTCGAACTGAACAAATTAATCTTTATTTGGAGCCGCTAATTAGCAAGCTTCAAAAACAGCCTTTACATATTTGAAACTGTAAGCTAAATTATTTGATATGGGATCAAACTACATCTTGCATTAGAAGCCTTAGGGACCGTTCATTTTTTATAAGGTAGGGGGGGCTGGTGGGATTTGGGGGGGGGGCCATGCGAAAAAAAATGGCTTTCGAGGGGGGGCCAT